TACGGGGTTTAAAGACTACTCAAAATCAAAATGCTAAGGGCTCAATACAGCAACAAAAGAAGTATCATGGGCCAACAGAAATCTGTAAGGCAAAAACCAGCCATCTCATGTATCTACCACTTTGACAAGAATTGGGAAGTATTGCTTATTTTTTTCCATTACTTTGACTAACACTTATTTATCCCAACCTGCAAACGTGTTCTTCATTCCAGACACGTTCACCATGAGTCAACTGGCATAAGCCATGAATGCCAGCATCCAAAGTATGACTTTAATCACACACTTACAATAAGGAGATCTTCAAAAGAGATTATAAACAAATTCATTCCCTCCCTTTACTTCTTTCTCCCCAGTTATTACATTGTCAAAGACTTCACACTGGAGAAGACCTTTACACCCACCTCTTCAACCCAGTGAACTTCCTCTTCCTACTCAACCACATGAAGTCCTAACCCAGCATTATCAACATCACAGTCTGTGGCCATGGAAATAATTAGACATGACTGTTCAGGTTAGAAATTACAGCCCATCTAAGTGTTTGCCTCCTGGGTGAAGAAAGCATCTAGAGAGAGAACATTTAAGTTACCTTAAATCACCAAGTGGCAAAATGAAGTTTGACAGTGAGAAGAACAGCAGGAGCTTAACCAAATGGAGGCACGCCACTGAGTAAGAGTCATCATGTAACAGGCAAAAGGCTGCGGGGTAAGAGGCCAACATACAGTTAATACACAGAATCAGGAAATAGCTACTGTGTAAGGGAGGTAAAGCCATCCAAACCGGCTGAAGCAGTTAATTCTTTGATACCAGAGTATGCACTGTTACTTTCATAAGAATACACTAAATTAAAATTCTCAGAAAACCCCATTAAAAAGGCAAATGATGTGACACTAAACGAAAGACAGACATGTGTAACTCATCTTGGGGAGGAGAAGCGGGGAGAAGAGAAGAAAATGCACCAGGATATACCTGAGATTCAATTCTGTGTTTGAAAAATCTGCTGAAAGCCACAGGGCTTGAATGACACGTTACAAGTCTAGCCATGAAAAGGTTATTAAGAAAAAAAAGCAGTGCCAAAAAAAAATCAGCTTGGTAAGATAGACTGAGACAACAAACAGGACCCTGCTAATTAATATTTGTTCTGCTTCAGCAGACAGTTACTGGACAAGACTGCAACAAACAAGCATGTCTCACCCAATCACATCATTAATCCATTCACGTTCACCACCTGAGGACCAGCTATGCCCCACAGATATTTATTCATCTGTTCCACAAACAAACAATTACAACACATTTTCTGGAATTAGGGCACCTGTTACATTCGGCACAGCTTACACACCCTTAGGCAGATATCAATTAATACTGAAAAAAATTACTGTATCACAAGCCAACAGAAGTTGCTCATTATATTTTGATAATCCTACTCCCAAAACACCCGGGAAGATCAAAAAACATAACTCTTGCAGAGCAAAGTTTAGTTCAAATATGTTCTGCTTAAAACTACCACCTTCATCATTAGGAAAAGCAAAATATATGCCAATGCCTTCTTTCTGAAGAGAGAAAGGCACAAGCAGAATCCACGACATCAGTGTGAAACGTTTGGATTTTAACTAGCCTGTGAAGTGCTTTTCAGCTGAACAGTATTAAGGTGGCAAAATACTAAAATAATCAAGACACAAATTCTGTAAATTTCTTTAGGCGTGTACCAGATAACTACGTTTCTTTAGCTCATTAAATACATACTGAATGCAAAGACATTTGGCAGGACACTCATGCTGCTAGAGAGAGTACAATTTAAAAGAAACCAGACAATTAAGACGTAAGTCCACAGAAGTATATGAGGGCACTTCATGTGGTGTACCTCTAAAATGAGAAGAACAAAGTCTGAGCAATGTAATTACATTCGGTAATACCCAAAAGTCTTACACATGCTGGGCATTTTGATTTTAAAACACCTTGTTCTTTCCATAAAAGCATTCCACTCCTACTTTTTTAAGTATCAGACTACAGTTGCAAGCGTAAGCGGCTTATTCTTACATATTAAATGAACAGAGGTCTAAACACTTCATAGTGACTAGCAGCTCGAGAAGCTGTAGCTGTCGCGGCCCCCCCTGCCACTCCAAATGCGAGTCCAACACGGGAATCGCACCCGTCCACTCTGCCCGTGTCTGCCACACATGCAATTATTACCCTTTGCACACACTGAGACAAAAGTAATCTTATTGCTAAACCCACTTGAACTGGCCCTGACAGACTACTCCTAGCTCACTAGCATGCTGGACAGAAATTTACTCCAAACCTCCATTTGATGCGTTATTTCAAAGCCTGCCATTAAAACCACTTATTTTCCAGAGCAATCTCATCCAAGCTATTTTATTCCTACCACAAGACTGCAGCTTTTAATTTCTGACACTTGTTGCTGCTGAGCCAATAATCCCCATCATCAAAATTAACAGACTCCACACACTGGCAAGTCTTACTATGGCCATCATCTCTAGCTCAAATAATTTACAAGTCAAGTGAAAAGAAGAAAAAAAAAAGAAAACCAAACCACCAGAAAGGCAATACACCCCAGGAGTATAAACAAAACCAGATCTGGGTTAACAACAAATGCAGTAGAAAGTTACATTAGTTGAATCCTGCACATGAGGCAGTGATTCAGAAGACTAACATTCCTGAATAACCTGCTCAGGGACATTCTGGCTACCTCGGTCAGGCCTGCAAACCAGCCAGCATCTGGGGCCGCCTGCCACAGCGAGAGCCACAAGAAGAAACGGCTAGAGCTAGACAACGTTCTGCCAGGTGGTGCACACAAAAGAGTTCCTTAGCTTCCTCACAGGGTATATTTTACAGAAAGGATTTTGTTAGGGACCAGATAAACTTTGGCCACCTTTGTCCCAGACAGTGTCAGGGCTGGGAAGAACATTCCTCGTGCATCAGCCGTTCTTGCGGAAGGTGGAAAAATCCTTGCAGGGTGCAATTAGCAAGCAAGAATCCAATGCAGAATTAAAAATAAAAAATAAATAAATGATGGTTTACTGCTTTGAAAAGGGGATACACAAATTCCTCCATGAAAAGATGCTCGGTTAACTGCAGAGCTGTTTGTCTTTCTGTCTAAACACATTAAATTCCCTCAGAGCCCTTAAGCCAGGGCTGCACTTTGAGCACACCCCTGGCGCTTGCCACCCTTCCCTTCCTTTGTCCACTCCACAGCTCTGCCGGTGCACAAAAAGCACTCCCATGACCCAGTTTACTGTGTCTAGAGTTTTCCCACACTTGGAACTTTGCAAAGGATTGGGAGGACTGAATCCAACATGAAATCAAAGAGTTCCCGAGGCCGCCCTTCTCCATGGTGCTCGCTGTGCCGATGCTGATCTATTATTTAGGAATAGCTCCTGGACAATCTTGTGTTATCTGGAAGGTGAATACTCTTGTTTCGGCAGTGAACAACTTGCTCGGGAGAGGTGCTGAGAAGGATGTGAGCCCAGTCTGGCTTACCAGGCAGAAAATGTCATATTTAGAAGAGCAATGCAAACTGCCTCTTCCCTGGCCTGAATCAGGAGGAGGGTCTGGACCAGCATCGCTAGAGACAGCAGGTTTCATGAAAACAACTGCCCTTAGAAAATCCAAAGTGCTGGAAGTGGTGGCAAGAAACAGGACACTTCAGGCAAACTCCTTTCTTCGTAGAAATGTGTAGGGTACCTTCATTATCTGAATCGTACAATAAAGCATAAATTTACACTTTATGAGCTATTCTAAAATCTGCCCTGCTTAATAATCTGTATCAGCAAGAAAACACTTTAAAGTGTCTCTCACAATTAAACCCAGGCACAACCTTGTATAAATCAAAATTTTGCTACCATATCAAAACGTTACACTGGGGCTGTATAACATTGCCCATATCCTCATTACATGCTACACTAATTACTACCAGCAGATTCAGAATTTTCTGCACATTAGAGGCTTTTAGAGGAGCTATAAAAAATTTCAGGCACCATTAATTTAAATTTGTATTGAAATTTCCTTTTGACAGATGGCCAAAAATTACTTACTATTTAGAGTACCAGAGCTGCCTGTTTGCACATTAGAAGAGGAAAGGGAAAAATTAAAAGCAAGAAGGAAATTTATGTCACGTTCATTACCTGTTAAATGTTAAGGAGCATTATCCTGCATGAATAAATTATTTCATACAAGCACACAGACTCCAGCTGCTGGCAACTAGCACGTTCTGGCTGACAAAAACCATCTCAAGTCACATAGCAGACAATCATAAAAAGCCTCTCTTAACCAGGAGCCACTTAAGGGAGGACAGATCGATCGAACAAGCAACTAACTGCTACTCTGGGCATCACTGAAAACATTTAGGGAAATTAGCAAACTATTTCACCTTGCAAAGCTGGCAGCAAGCCCCATAACACTGACACACAAGCCGACTCACAACCTGAACATCATAGAAGACAAACGTCTACTTCTCATTTTAAAGTAAATTGGCACAAAGTAGCAATGCTCTCCTCTCTCTCTTGAAGCTGTATGAATAACAGTGCCTTTGAATCATTCCCAGATAAAATCAGCCTTTTTAGTATAAACAGTCACTGTAACACCTATGCCAGCATAAACACCACAACATCCCACAGACACTACAGAAACATCATTAGTGTATTTTCTTTAAAAACAGCGATTGGCAAATACTAGTAGTTCTCCTCATCGCTTTCTTGAACAAAACACTCGTGGTTCCAACTGTACAGATACGCAAACCCACTAAAGAAACCAGGTGAATTTTTATTTCCGCATTTATCTGCCCTACTTGTTTGTTCGTGTGCAGGAAAAAGAAAACGGACTACATCTAACAGTTCACGGCAAACAGGGAGTGTCCTAGGGAAGCCATTATTAATCTACACCCAACCTCAATGCATAAAGCAATAGTCCCAGTTTCTATCCCTCATGACAAAGAAGCTAAAGTGAAATCCGACGTGCTGTTGTCCTGTGCCGGCAGACAGACAGCTTCAGTGCCTTTGCTCCTCACAGTGAAAACTGACAGTTCCTGTCAGGTCCTGGTTGTTATGCAGAGCCATGTAGGTAGGAGCAAAACTGACAACCGTCAGCTCACTGGCATTCAGCTGGGACATGGCAGAGTTGCCAGTGGCAGAACAGGTGCGCTGGGGCAGGTTGTGGGTCTTGTACCCACCTGGAGCTGACAGAGAAGCACAGGCATAGCCCCTCGCATGGGGCAGCCCCGGCCAGACAGGTCTCTGGTGGGGGCAACGCCTGTGCCTGGCACCAGGCTCCTCTCAACACCAGCTAGGGCACACCAGTAACACCTGCTTCGCATGTCTAATGCACTCGGCACTCGTGCTGTGAACCTCTCTTCTGCCATTTGGCCAGCACCATGAATAAAGTACATATTCCTTAGAAAAGCACCACTAAATCCTGACAAACTGTCTCTAAGTGCTCAGTAAGATGGGCATAGGTCTTGCCCTTTTTAAGAGAAGTGTACCCTTCATGTCACACCCACCACCACCTGAAAAGGCTTCATCGTATGCTCCTGAAAATTGTGCAAGCCACTCAGGCTCTACCCTGGAGCTACATTGAGCTATCTGGAGCCGGGCAGGTAACAGCACAGCTGGCAACAGCTGGGTCTGCTGAGAGCTGGTACGCAGTCGGCAGCATCCAGGGGAGTAGATTGACCTAGGAGAGGGCAGGGCGAAGATGCCCCCCCTCCCCCGCAGTACTGAAAGCCTAGGAATCTCCGAAAGACTCTGGTGGCAATCCATTACAGACAAGCACCCAGGCAGAGCCGCAGTCCCGTGCACCACCCAACGCTCACCACTACACAAGCGGCAAGGTGTGTGCTGCATCTCCTTATAAGCACGACCACGCACAGGATGGTCTGCAGGCCAGTCGCAGTCTGAAAATCATCCTTCGGAAAAGGAGGCCAGGATTCTCAGAGCAAATACCACCTTCATCAGGGTAGGGAACAGCAGCTCACTTCTAGCCAGCTGCTTCAGCAAGGACAGTGGGCAGCACTCCACCTCAATCCTGCAAGTGAAAGAGCTCCCCTGCCATAATTACATTGTTAGGATATATGAGAATTACAGTTTAAAGCCTCCAAATGACTTAAAACTACTGGCTAGCTCTTTCTGTCTCGTAAGCTTGGGCAGAGTTGCCAGGCAGCCCTCAGGGGTGTTCCACCAAACCCAGTGGACAGCACGTTGCCTGCAATCCCAGTGGACCACTACCAGCCACCTTCTAAGTGTGATATGCAGTCCATACAGGGCTCTGCTAATCAACACGAGCACCACAACGTGCTTTCATTTTTTGACTTTTTCCACCACTCTGGGCCACACTTCAGAAAAATGCTGCATGCAGCTCTTTCAAGCCACCCCTTACAGCTAGGAAATGGAGTCCTACCTTGATGGAGTCTCTGTCTGCATGCAGAGCAGCCCCCACGTGCAAGGAGGCAAGGAGGCAGTGGCAGGAGATGGGGAGTTGAGGGGAGAGAGAAAGAGAAAATCACTAGTTAGTTTACATAAAATTATACATTTATCATACTCGGAAGAAAGAATCCTGATGTCTGTTAAATCATTAATTGCACAGATGTTAACTTTTCTATACAGTTAATTATTAATATTGCACAGCCAGATTTATAAAACTGGGTTTTTAGCATCTGAATATAACTTCTGGCTACCACTAGGTAAAAATACTGAAGCAATTAGCTGGGAATTTTTGTGAAAACTTTTTTTTTTTTTTTTTAAACTAAGAGCTGAATAAAAAGGAGAAGAGAAACAAATGAAGTCACATACTTATATGGCAGCACCTACCTCTTTGGTGATCGTTATCATGGTGTTTCTTCTCATCTTTAATTGGGAGGTGGGACTGCCCACCCAGTGCACTGGACAGTGCCAGGAGACCAGCACTGCTGCCAATGGGTGGGATGGCTGGAGGCTGCAGACCTGAGGGGTGCGGAGTGAGTGGCACGGGAAGACCATGTCCATGTGACAAATGCTGGGCCTGGAGTTGTTGCTGCTGTGAAAAATGAAACAGATATTGAATTTGTTCAGGGAGCAGGACGTTGTCTGATTGATCCTCCACATCAAATGTGATTGATTGGATCAACTAATGCATCTGATTGATCCAGGTATCAGCTGTTACAAACATGCTGGTGTTTTAGAAATGTCCATATGTTTGGACACAACACTACTGGTAAACTTTGGGCTGAATTAATAGAACAAACCAAAAAAAAAAGGAAAGGAAATTCAGTTTTGCTGAAGTTTTTTGCTCCAACAGAAGTATCATCTTACCTTTTCTGGCAGAAACACACCACATACACATCTAATCAAAACATATGTAACTATAAAAGCCGTTATATAATAAAAAAAAAAGCTGAAAATTGAGAAAATTAGTGTTAAACAGTTCTCCCAGCGCTACTGCACAGCATGCAGTGAGAGTTAATTTGAAAGAGAAAACCTGAATTAACAATCCAGAAAAGGAAACTGGTTGCAGCCACCGTTTTAAGCCCTTTAAGTGTCCTCAGCGGTACTTGAGCAAATTACTAAAGAAAATCTAATGTAGCAAGGCTTGGGTCCTCCTGTAGGCTTGCTCAATAATGCTGAAATAATTGGGCACTCTGTGCACGTTTAGTGATGCTCGAATGAAAAGCTAGAGGCCTGCCCTTGTACTCTTCTCTAGCTGCTGACTCTGTGTTGTGACAGGTTTATTTGAGTGGGACTGTGATGCATGCACCAGTAACTGTGCTGACAAGAGTTTAAAGTCATTTTTACCAGTACACTGGCAACACATAGAGAAAGCCCTTGAGAGGTTCGAATTGGAGTGCTTGACCTCAACCAAGGCTGCATCAAGCTCTGTGCTATACTAACCATTGTGGGGTGGATAGATGGTTTGTTGGTACCCAGTGGGACGGACTAGGGGGGGAAAAAAAAAAAAAAAAAAAAAACCAAAAAAACAACCAAACAAACAAAGAGGTGAAAAAGCCATGTTAAATATATCCAAACAGAGATCTGCTCAGATCTTAAGCCTGCCCACTAACATTCTAAATATTTTCTGTTCATTCAGTAACTAGAATAGCTCAAGTTTTCTTTTTGTTTTCAAGCAGTCACTGCTCAGGACTCAGGGTAAATTGAATCAGAAGTCCTCTAGGATTGCTGTCTCCCCCTGCATGTCTGCATACAGGACACTGGAAGAAGAAATAAAAACTTAACTCGCTTTGCAGAAAAACATTCAATTTTAAATTCTCAATCACAAAGATTCAAGTCCTATTTTTGTTTGTTTTTCATTTGAACTTTAATTTACTTCCCACCTTGCAACTCAGTTCTTCAATCAATCAAGAGACAATATGATGTTCACTTGATTTTTTCCCTCCCCTCCCTTGCACAGATCTTTACATTAGGGTGGGATGAAAGAAAAAGACTGCAAATCACATACAGCACTTTAGGGTAACTCATGCAGCACACTCCACACGTGTCTCCCTCAATACACTCCTCTGAAAGTACAGATCCTTCTCTTTCTCGTGGAAACACAATCCAGGTGGTGGAATCAGACTGGCAGTGTCATGCACATGTCATCCAACCTAGATTAGTGCCAGGGAAATGAGGGGAACGACACAAAATGAAGGAGGAAAAAAAAAATGGAGGGAAGCATGAAAAAAAAAAAAAACCAACAAAAAACAGAAAGAAGATTCTCCCAGGTGGAAGAGGGAAGGCTCAATCCTTTCCCTGCTTGCAAACCCATGTCATTCCAGCAGATGCTCCTTCTTGTAGAAAGTATCAAACACATTTTGCTCGCTTGATGCTTTTATGGAAGGATGCTTCATTTCTCAGAATTTTAAATTAACTACAACAAAATGAAGCAAGAGCCAACAGTGTATTATTTAGCTTCAGGGTTTGAATAGGGCTGCCTTACAGCAAGGGAAACAATCTGGCATGCCTGATCTGGGGAGGGAGGAGAGGGAGCAAAAGGATAAAAAAGGAATGGACAAAATAATCTAAGTTCTGGAGTCTCATTTTAACAAAGAATGTCCCATTCCAGTTCAAGAACATGCTGTGAACCCCTGCAAGAAGATGTCTGCCTGAATATGACAGTGGGTTGAAGCAAAGGCTTTGAGAAGAGCCTGAGAATATCAACAGTGACAGAGCTCTCCCTTCATTAACTATTTCATTGTCAAACAAAGTGTACTAGGTAGGGGACACTCATAGCACAGTACTGTACAATCTGTACCGATCTGCCTACTGACCTAACAATTTGCTTTATATGACCTTCTCTATGGATACAGGATAGTTCTGAAGAGCTTGAAGAAAAGTGCAGTGTGAATGCAGAAAGACAGGAGCACTGACTGCACCTTGGATGTACCAAACATCATTAGTGCCTCTGAGACATAATAAGGGCATTAAGAATAGTATGGGTAATGACAACTCGGTGTCTAACAGCTTGAGATCACCCAGAACAGCATGGCTGGTCCAGTCCCTCTTGGCCAAGAACAGGCACATTTTCACTGTAATTTGAATAGCACAGAGCTCTGAAAATAACTGGGAAGAGTATGGAAAGAAAAAAGACAAAAAGACCCCACCAAACCAAGTGAACAAAAAACCACTAACCCACAACCTTTCTGCCTTGGAGAACCTTTCTGAAGAGACCAAGCTCCTCCATGGAAAACAACATGAACAATAAATCCGGGAAGAACATAGCCCCTGCAATCACCAAAGTGTCATTCACTGACACAGCAGAAATTGGGTGCAGCTTAGTCACATTGTAATGGCACAAAGAAACTACTTCGGTATGAAAACCAGACCGTTACATTAATAGAAGTTAACACCCCAAATTCTCATATGGCCCCATATACCTGTGCCACACAGACAATGTTATGCACACTGTTAGACTGAGGTGGGACCAGAAGTTCAACAACAGGAGGTCGATCATAGACTAGGATTGCTTTACTACAGGAAAGGACTATGAGCTCCTCCAGCCAGGTGAGCAACATTGTACAGCAAAAGCAAGGCATTGGTCTGAAAACAGAAACTACAGGAATTCAAAAGGAATACCAGGCAGGTTTTTTCTCTCAAAACACAGAAGAACAAAAGGAAAAGAGTATACAATTGCATAATTAAGTGCTGTTTGCTAACAGGCATACTCAAGGAGGCAGAATGACAGCACATCTCTTAACAGTGATTTCCAGACCTTTGTAATCTATTACTATACTCAAGTGATCATGATATTCACAGCTTGGTTTTGCTTTTCCACTGCCCATGGATGTCACTGATGAGCATCAGTTTCCCAGGTGGCCTGTACACAGTTGCTTGGTTACAGGGAAAGTTATAAAAATATGGGCAACCCTTAAACCACTGGGCATCAGGTTAGTGCTACAAAGACGTGAAAAAAGGTGGTCTCTCCTACTCATCAACATGCCAAAGATATGGAGGAATTAGACAAACGGCAGACATTCTCCCCAAACAGAAACATTCCACTGTGTAAGCAAGTTCACATTTGTTTGTCTATACCATGAATTTATGTCATAAAACCTGACATAATTTAAAAACTTGCAAGGAAAGCCTGACAATGAGCCAACTGAGCAGCCATGTAATTTTTTGTATGCTGCTGTAATGCTTTTACTTTCCACTCCTCCATCTTCTCTTTAATTTTTCATCCTTAGTCACGTTATTTATGAACTCTTAGCACTTGGTTAGTTAACTTTAGACAATCCCATCACAAATGACTACAGCCTGTGTAAAGTCAAGCATACATTTTCAGCATCAATGTGTAATAGCTGAAAAATTGCAAAGGAGTATACTAGGCTTTATTATGCTGTAAATTTTCCTGAACTATTTAAAAATAAAACCAGCAACAGTTAGCTACCAAAAAGATATGGTCTACAGAATTGCAAAATAGATTGCAATGTTTCTAAGAAACATCCAACAAACAGAAACACAAGATCAAGGGTAAACCTAGAAATCCAGAAAGAATCCAAAAAAGAAGACTACGTTTTTTTTCATACTAAGTTTAGGACAGTGACCATTTAAATCAGCTCAGTAGGAAAAGCTGAAGTAAAACATTCAAGACATATTAACATGTCAAAGATAACATCTGGTTACTACTGATCTGTTGGTTTGTTAGCTTTTTTTTTTTTTTAAATTTTCTGTATATCCTTTAGACATTCTACAGTAAGAAGTAAAATAATTTCAAAGCCACATCTAAATAAATGGCTAAAAAGGCATTCAAAAGGTTCTGATCTGAGTACATTTCACTAATTTTTACAACTGCAGTTCTAACTATTGATGCTTAGCTTTTCCCAAGACATCTTAGGAGATCAAATTTAAAGTAAAATGTGATAATAAACGCACTAACAAATTAGCTTCTAATGCTCTCTTGTTATAGTCAGCACATTCAAAGCCTGTTTTCCTGGAAAAGGTTCAAGTTTTTACTGGATACTTTCCAAACAGCTCTGTGTTGCAGGAATCTACCACTTTCCCTCTTACAGACCCTGAAATCTCACAGGCACTATCCAAACAACCTGAACATACTCTTCTAACCTGAAGACATTTCTAATTTTAACCAACTAACATGTTCTAAAAGATATTTTATATCTACACACATGCATGCACTACCCATACCTGCCATACTGCTGGAAGGGGACCTCAAAAAATCTGGGCAAGATAGCTTGACTGTTTCTTCAAATTTTGTTAGATGAAGCAATTGATTTTCAGAGTGAATCATTAGTAAGATTGCATAGAGATAAAACAGTAACCAAAATGAAGAGGAAATAAAGACATAAAAACAATGGCTTGAGAGTACTCAATGTCAATAGCTTAAAAATCAGCAAGAAAAGGAAGTCCTCCAGCATGCAGTTACGAGTGTGCTTAGAGTGCTATGAATTTTTATCTATCATGCCTGTGCACACCCCTGACATGATGTGCATTGTTTGTACTTCCTTTGTACAGTCCTCTCTCTGCTGGCATTCACCAAAAAAAGAAAAAAAAAAAAAAAAGGCTTTTCTGATGTTAAGATGTAACACA